TTCTCTTGCTTAGTGCTCACAGAGCTTCTTGATTCATGTGGGCTAATTTATTCCAGCAGTAACAGTAGCTCTTCAAATCTTTTTTTTCCCTGCCCTTTTCTCTCTGTCCTGGAACTCCATTTATAAGTATACTAGAGGCCCGGTGCACAAAAATTTGTGCACTCGGGGGGTGGGGGGGCGGCGGAAGGTCCCTCAGCCCAGCCTGTGCCCTCTCGCAGTCTGGGACCCCTCGGGGGATGACCACCTGCTGGCTTAGGCCCGCCCCCCGGGGGATTGGGCCTAAGCTGTCAATCAGACATCCCTCTGGCAGCCCGGCAGCCCTCGGGGGATGTCCACTTGCCAACGGGGAGCAGACCTAAGCTGCAGTCGGACATCCTTAGCGCTGCTGAGGAGGCAGGAGAGGCTCCCACCACCACCGCTGTACTGGCAGCCATCAGCCTGGCTTGTGGCTGAGCAGAGCTCCCCTATGTGGGAGCTCACTGACCACCAGAGGACAGCTCCTGCATTGAGCGTCTGCCCCCTGGTGGTCAGTGTGTGTCATAGCGACCAGTCATTACCAGTCTTTCTGCTGTTAGGGTCAGTTTGTATATTACCCTTTTACTGTATAGGATAGAGGCCTGGTGCACGGGTGGGGGCCGGCTGGTTTGCCCTGAATGGTGTCCCGAATCAGGGTGGGGGTCCCGCTTGGGTGCCTGGCCAGCCTGGGTGAGGGGCTGATGGCTGTTTGTAGCTGGTCACACCCCCTTTAGGGTGGGGGTCCCCACTGGGGTGCCTGGCCAGCCTGGATGAGGGGCTGATGGCTGTTTTCAGGCTGGTCACACCCCCTTCAGGGTGGGGGTCCCCACTGGGGTGCCTGGCCAGCCTGGATGAGGGGCTGATGGCTGTTTTCAGGCTGGCCACACCCTCTTTAGGGTGGGGGTCCCCATTGGGGTGCCTGGCCAGTCTGGATGAGGGACTGAGGGTTTTCAGGCTGGCCAAGCCCGCTGGCGACGGAAGCTCCCAGCCTCTCCTTTTTTTCTTTTTCTTTTTTTTTTTATTCTGGGATTTATTTACCTTCTATAATTGAAACTTTGTTGCCGCTCCAGCTCTGAGGCCACGGCCTGCTGAAAGCAGGTATCTGGGGTTTGTTTAGCTCTATAATTGCAACTTTGTTGCTTTCAGAGCTCAAAGCCGGGCTGCAGCAGGCGGGGAACCTTGGCTTCCTCCATCACTGGAGCAAGCAAGCCTCCTGCTTGCTTTAGCTGCTTGGCTGCCAGCCGCCATCTTTGTTGGCGGTTAATTTGCATATCTCGCTGATTATCCAATGGGAAGTGTAGTGGAGGTATGGTTAATTTCAACCTTTGTCTATTATTAGATAGGATTAGGTCCTTTTACTTTGCCTCCTGTCTTTTACATCCTTTTTATATTTCCATTGTTTTTTCTGTGAGCTTTAATATAATTTTGTTCTGATCTGTTTTCATTTTCCTAATTCTGGTTGTGTATTGAATCAAGGTTTTTCATTTTCTGTTTTCTTTAATATACTACTCATAGTTATTTTAAAAACCTGTTGGCTGGATCACCTGTGGGTCTGTTTCTATTGTCAATGTGTCTTTTCTTTTGTTTTCAGCTACATGGTCCTGTCTCTTGGGGTTCCTGTTGTTTTTACATTGAATGTAATACACAGTGTATTAAAAGTCATAAGTAGTCCAGTTGATGTTTTCTTTTGTTAGGCAGATAGCATGTTGATTGATCATTCCCCCCCCCCCCCAGCTATATTGAGGAATGATATACAAAAATTGTATATGCCTAGTTTCTACAGCATCCTATCTAATAGAGAGGGAGTATGCAAATTGACCGTCACACCGTAACAAAGGTGGCTGCGCCCACAGCAGAGGCAGGGATCCCATAACACCAGATGGCTGCACCCACAGCGGAGGCCGAGTTCCCATAATGAGCCTTAACAAGCAATCAGCAGGGACCTGAGGCTGCATAGCGCTGAGCCGGGGCAAGGGGACCTAAGGCTGAACCCCCTGCCTGGTGGGGCTTGACAGGGAACCTCAGGCTGTGCCCCCCGCCCCGGTGCCAGGCTGGAGGACCTCAGGCTGCACCCACCGCCTGGCAGGGCTTGATGGGGACCCCAGGCCACATCCCCTGCCTGGTGGAGCTTGATGGGGGACCTCAGGCTGCGCCCCCCGCCCGGCGGGGCTTGATAGGGGTGGGGCTGGCCAGGTCTGGATCTAGCCCAATGGGGATGGGGGTGGCCGGGTTTGGGTCTTGTGCGATTTTGAGGTGCATGTGGGTGGGTGGGGACTTGACTCTGGTTCCCGTGGCTCGCCCCAAACTCTGACAGGAGGAAGATTTTCATATACATTTTACTAATTTTCTTTCATCTCTGACACTTCTATAATAGAGAAAGGGCAAATAGCAATATTAAAATATTTCCTCTAATTCCCTTTTAATGTGCACGAATTTCGTGCACTGGGTCACTAATGTTTTATAAAGATGTTTGTGATGATTTAATATATGTATACATGTGAAATGATTACTGTTGAGTATCTCCAAATACCATCACATTGGGAGTTAGGGTTTCAACATACAATTTTGGAGGGAACACAGACATTCAGTCCATGTTAGGCCAACTGCATCCATACATTCTATTTTCCTCTTTGTTATACAAAAGATGGTACATACTTGATGGCATTACAAATACAGACATTTTAGGGGAGGATAACACTTTTGAAAGGTTCACTGGGGAAGCAGCAGAATGGGTAGGGGAGCCTCAGAATTGTGATACACATTTGCCAAAGTCTCAGCCAACTGAACGGGAGCTCTGGGTCAAGGATTGGCAGTGAGAGGAGGCCCTCATTAGGCCAAAGTGGCCCTGGAAGGTGCTGCTGCTAGAGACTGTTGGCCCACATACTCCACATGGCTGAACCACAGGTTCTTTTCTGGAATAGAAATGCAGGTTGAGTTCACTTTGCTTTGTCAGCTTAGTGCATTCTAGGAACCATTTCCAATCAATTCACAGAGGTTGCTTTGTTCTTTTTATATTTTACATAATACTACTACATAATTCTCCATCTGTTGATGGCCGGGATTTTGACTATAATCTTAATGTCTTTTTTTTTGTCGGAAAATATTTATGAATATCTAAATAAATGGAAATATATGCACCTATCTATGGAAGGGAAGACTCAGTTTTGTAAAGATGTCATCACCCTCCAAATTTATACCTAAATTCAATGTGATTCCAATCGAAATCTCAGCAGAGTTTTTTTAGTACCTTATTAGCCAATTTTCAGATTGATACAGAATCAAAAGACCAAGAACAGCAACCTTAAGTTTGTTCTCTGTATCCATGAATCTGTTTTTGTTTGTTTGTTTTGTTCTTTAGATTTCACATGTAAGTGAAATTATATAAAGATGACATATAGATGGCCAACAGACATATGAAAAGATGCTCAATGTCACTAATCATCAGAGAAATGCAAATTAAAACCACAATGAAATATCACCTCATACCTGGCAGAATGGCTGTCATCAATAAATCAACAAACAAGTGTTGGTGTGGATGTGGAGAAAAAGAAACCCTTGTGCACTGTTGGTGGGATTGCAAATTGGCGCAGCCACTATGGAAAACAGTATGGAGGGTCCTCAAAAAATTAAAAATAGAATTACCATTTGGTCCAGCATTCCACTCCTGGGAATATCTCTGAATAAATCCGAAACACTAATTTGAAACTATATATGTACCTCTGTTTTCATTGCAGCATTATTTACAATAGCCAAGTTTTTTAAGCAACCCAAATGCCCATCAATAGATGATTGGATAAAGAAGAGGTAGTACTATATACAATGGAATATTACTCGGCTATTAAAATAATGAAATCTTACCATTTGCACAACATGAATGGATCTAGAGCAGTGGTTCTCAACCTGTGGGTCGCGCCCCCTTTGGGGGTCGAACGACCCTTTCACAGGGGTCGCCTCAGACCATCGGAAAACACATATATAATTACATATTGTTTTTGTGATTAATCACTATGCTTTAATTATGTTCAATTTGTAACAATGAAAATACATCCTGCATATCAGATATTTACATTACGATTCATAACAGTAGCAAAATTACAGTTATGAAATAGCAACAAAAATAATTTTATGGTTGGAGGTCACCACAACATGAGGAACTGTATTAAAGGGTCGCGGCATTAGGAAGGTTGAGAACCACTGATCTTGAGGGTATTATGCTAAGTGAAATAAGTCAGACAGAGAAAAGACAAATTAATGTCTTATTTGCTGTTTCTTTTGTGTTCAGATGAATTATTAGTGGCTGTGGTTTAGTTTTATAAAGGATTCCTTGTTAGTATTAATAAATGCAAGGTTGCTTCCAAGTAGATCATGAGATTGGCTTTTTGCCAGTTCCATGGGTCACTGTTAGAGCCCCTTCAGCACTCAATGCTTTTATCAGTCTTATATTATGGAATTAGAATTTAGGATAAAATTGGCAGTTCTCTGACTAGTATATACCTATATGTGTTATTTTGTATTCTTAGTTTCTGCCCAGTTTTTTCCTTTGTTGAAAGTTGTATTTTTTAAAATATGTTTTTATTGATTTTTAGAAAGAGAGAGAGACATCAATCCATTGCCTCCCACATGCACCCCAACTAGGGATGGAACCCACAACCTTGACATGTGCTCTAACCTGGAATCAAACCAGTGATCCTTTGGTGTACAGGATGACGCTCTACCAGCTGAGCCACACTGGCCAGGGCAAAAGTTGTAAACATTACTCATAGGTTTAAAATACATGATTAGGATTGTGACCCATCACAATTCTGAGAAAAGGAGAGACAACTAGAGACAAACTGCTCAGCTTACATAGTGCTGTTGGGCTGCCTAAGTTAGTCTGGAGTTCTGATAAAGAAGGTAAGAGTGACTGTGTCTGTGGGCACCCTGGTTGTAAAATCATGTTACTTCTTCAAGTGATAACATCAGGTTATTCTGTGTTTTTTCTTCAGCTGGTTTCCCCATGAGCTATGCAGCAGCAGCTCCTGCCTACTCCCCCAACATGTACCCTGGAGCAAATCCTACCTTCCAAACAGGTATGCAGGTTGTATGTGCTGGGTGGCAAAAAATGCTTTGTCCATGCAGCTGGGGAGAATATAAGGTGGGTGGATTTTGAGGGGAGTGGTTATAGAATTAGGATTTGGGATTGATTTCTGGTTCATAAGATTAGCCTTGTTGATAAGGGCAATCAAAGCTTAATTCTTCTTGCATGTAAAGCTTTAGATAATGCATTTCTTTTTAAAAAATATATTTCTTTTATTGATTTAAGAGAGGAAGGGAGAGGGAGAGAGAGATAGAAACATCAATGATGAGAAAGAATCATTGATTGGCTGCCTCCTGCACGCCCCCCAGTGGGGATCGAGCCCGCAACCCGGGCATGTGCCCTTGGCCAGAATCGAACCTGGGACCCTTCAGTCTGCAGGCCGACGCTCTATCCACTGAGCCAAACTGACTAGGGCTAGGTATAGCATTTCTGATGTCCTTTCACAACACAGATCTTCATTCTAAATATAGATTGTTACAGGTAAATAGTTGTACCAGAACATGTATTTATGAAATAGAGTTGATTACAAGGAACCGAAGATCATCTTGCTATGTTAATAGGTGGAATTTCATGTTACTAACATTTTTAGATATTTAAGATCATTTTAGTCCTTTGTTTATAGTGTTAAAAGAAAGTCTTATTTTCTATGTAAGTATTCTATATAGTTTTCAAAGAAAGTCTTATTTTATTTTTTGTGTGTTTTTTGTTGTTGTTGCTACTCTTGTTTCTAAAAGTCTTATTTCCTGTACATGAGAATTTTTTCACATTTTAAAATAAATGATGAAATTGGAATTAGTTTGGGTCTGAACCTGGTAAAGATAGTTTATTTAGTGGAATTTTTCTCTGCGAGCATGCACTATGCTGTTGGCTCATTCCAGGCTTTATTTACCGAGACTGGACTTTGTGAATCTGATGCAGCAATGGTGGCCCATGCTCTGACTTGAAGGCTCAGCCTCACTGGTCCGCTGGGCGCTTCTTTGTCCTTCGGAACCCCTAGCCTCACACACTTAACTTTACAGAAGAGAGGACAGCAGTAATATCCTTTTCCCAAATTATTTCTATTTTTTAATCATAAAATTCTTCCTGTTATCTATCTTTTCCTTTTTATTTCCACTCTGACCATCTTTGTTCAGCCAAAGCTCACACACAGAGATGGCTTCTTCTTTATCAAATAGTTGTTGTTTTTATTTTGCCTAGCTTTTATTCACTCTTTTTCTCCTACCTGAACTAGAGTACCTGCTACTTTGCATCTGTCTTTTGGGGGTTGTTATGGACTATCCCTTTCCTGGGGTCAACAGTGTTATTCACTGGATTTTTAGGCCAAATGGCACTACCCATCTCCTTACATAAAATAGCTCACCTTTTGGGGAGGTCAGTGGTGGGGGGGGGGGCAGGGGGGGAAAGAGACATACTGACTACTATTTGTAATACCTTAAACCAGTGGTTCTCAACCTTCCTAATGCCGCGACCCTTTAATACAGTTCCTCATGTTGTGGTGACCCCCAACCATAAAATTATTTTCGCTGCTACTTCATAACTGTAATTTTCCTACTGTTAAGAATCATAATCTAAATATCTGATATGCAGGATGTATTTAGGCAACCCCTGTGAAAGGGTCGTTCGACCCCCAAAGGGGTCGCGACCCGCAGGTTGAGAAACGCTGCATAAAATTAAAAAATAAATAAATAAAGATTAAAAAAATGTCTCACCTTGTTTAACTTTTTACAAACAACTCTCTTGAGCTATAAATGACATGTGGTAAATTGCACATACTTAAAAGTATATAGTTTGATAACTTATGATCTAATATGTACCACCCTCACAACTGAAAGTAAACATATCTCTCACCCATAAGTTTTCTGTTGTTGGCCCTTTGTAATCTCACCTAGGCTCTGAGAAATCACCAATCCGTTTTTCTCTCATTATAGACCATTTGTATTTTTCTAAAATTTTATATATGTATATATTTTAATTCTTTATTAGTTAAGGTATTACAAATGTGTCCTCATTCCCCT